AGATTGGATGTGGGACATTGATTCAGTGATTGATGTGAACCAGTTTCCAGAAGTGAAAATGATAATAGAAGAACAAATGAGCTGGCATTGGAACTGGAACCTATCCTTGTTTAATTTTGAGATGGACAATGGAGATATACATGAAAATATTTGCAATTCAAGTCCCTCGACTAAAAGCTATCAAAAGAAGTCTAAGCTCATATTTCTATTAATTTACAACACCCTAAAGGCCCAAGCTCTAAAAGAGGAATCTTAAAAAAGGCATTTGGTGCAAAATTTAACAGTTTTTCATGGCGTCACTGTAGGTATCAGGCTTTCACCTCCACGCGGAAGAGGTGGCCATAGCTCTGTTTATCCAGCCAAGATAGAGAGCCCCTTCTCTCTCTTCAAGTCTATAATTGTTGTTGTAGTCTTTCAACAGATCCCTTACAGCCATAGTAACTGAGGAACTCAATGGATATGGAGAAAAACCAGCCATGGTGAATCTTGACCTCCACTTTCCAAAAAGTTCATGCCTTTCCACCCTCTCAGGCCCCTCACAAGCAATCATATTCACAATATCGCGAGCCACACAGTGCTGCTCTGCACTGATCCTCTGCTTGTCATCTCTTGAACAAGCTACATCTATGGATTCAAACATAGCTGTGTAATAATCCAGTGTCTCAAGGTACCTTGAAAAGAATGGGGATGTGTTGGTATTAGACTCTTGCTCCACAAGAGTGACAATCTTGGGCGACAAACTCTTCACCAACCTCAACAGTCGATCTCTGTGATTCCAGGTGCTTACACTCTCATCTGGCATGTGATGCAACACATAAGGAAAATTCACAGCTAGGGCTTCCCCAGGTTGAACCTTAAGATGCTCTAATTGAACCTCACAACCAGACATGGCAGCATCATGAAACTCAAATGGCACATTGTACGACTTAGCAAATTCTGATAGCCTCTGCCCCACAATATTAAGTCCCCCACCTCGAGCATGATTTGACTGAGAATCATCAACACCAGTTACACGGATAGCCGGGGGCCCACCAGGGCGTTTTGCAAGAGCTGCGATGAGGAACATCCACTGGGTGCCCTGTGCTATTTGGAAATCAATGATGTGAATTTTTGGTTCATATTCCATGACTTCCCTGATGACAACATTAGCTGATGTGTATGCAAACTTCCAGTAGGGACAGATCTTGAAGAGAATATGCATGTAAGACATTAGTTCTGAGCTTGTTGGTTCTTTGCATTTCAGGGCTTTGTAGATACTACTCCCTGAGGATTCCAACCTTGCTCTAAGCCCTTCCAGCACATAAGCACCCAATCGCTGGATTGGTTCCCCAGACACTGAAACCATTTTCTCCAAGACATGCATTAAACCTGCCATTGTTGGCATATCACCCTCATGAAGTGCTTGACCACAGGCAACGAGAACCTGTTTCAAGTCTAATCTAGGGATCATTTCCACCAGTTGATTGCAGTTAAAGCTTGCCATTGAAGCAGCTTGGTGGGCTCCACTACTGAAGCAGCAATTGCAGCTGTCTATGACATCTGATTCAGGTCCCAACAAGGAAATTTCCAGCTCCCTCAGCTTGTGCTTCCATTCATTGCCATCATCAACAATAGAAGATCCACTGACTGGTGATCCATAAGTATTGTCAGGGGAATGATGAGGATCAGATAGGTATGATTGAGAACCTTGCGGGGAGAAAGGACTCCTGCTTGATGAGATGCTTACAGCAGAAGGGGAATCATAGACAACAAAACCAGCAGTTGCAGTGGATGATTCCAGGGTAAAAAATTGATCCTTGTAGGTTTGAAAGGAGACACTGGTTCCTTGGCTCCCAACATCTGAGCATGCATTGTTGTCTAATATCTGAATATGAGGCAAACAAAGTGCCTCAATTTCCTGAACAGGTTGGTGATACAGCCTATGGATACTGCCTGAGGTTTGGTGTTTCTGAGATGTTTGCATCTCAGCCCAATCCGCTTATCAACCTCCTCTAGAACACTTTTTGTTAGGTATAGATGTTTGCTGTGACAACGGAATTCTTTTTGGTAATAGTAACTCTTTCTTCTAGTAGCAGCAGTAGCTTGATGGAGCAAAATTACTCTCTAATGGAAAAGCTACACAACATCAATCAAGAGACTATAATGGTTAAGCAGCCAACTAGCCTTCGTATGAAGATAAAAATAGTTTGCTCCTTGGCATCGATGCTGACCATCAACTGCTTTAGTTGTGCAAGGCAGAAATATCAAAGAAGAATACAATCTGCCAACAGAATTCCAAGAAAATAAAAGAGATTAGATTATGCAACTAAAGGAAGCCCAATGTACACCATCAAGGGGTATAAAAAGTCAGAGAAAAAACAAGCAATAACCAAAGGAGCCTACATGGAGAAAGGACTTGAAGTAAGAGGAAAATTTTCCTCTGTGCAACTTTCTTTTAAATTAAAAGTTAATCAACCAAGCACAAAACAGCGACCATAAGATAATCAAGTGAAACAATACAGTATAGCAGGAAGCCAAAGATTAGCGAATTGGACTCACAAAAACTTAGATAAGTAGTAAAAAGCCACCAAGAATATATCTAAAAATATGTAATTAGAACAATTTATACTATATAGGAAGCCTCAAAATTAACATATCAAGTTTGATACCAATTCAAATCTCCCTCTAGTGACACGCTATAAAGCTTAAAGGTTATAGGCCAAAAGGTAACAAGCAAACCAAAAGGGGATTGGAAGAGAAAGAGAAATCAAACCAGATGCAAGGCATAAAATTTTTGCATATTAAAACAAACAAAATAAATCAGCTTCCAGATTCATAATTCATTCAAATCTGTAGGATAGTAAACAGTGTGAAAGTTATAACTACAACTACCAACAATATTAAATCACTTATAGACAAAGATTGATTTTTTTTACTTTACTACTTGTGGGGCAAGAACCAAGTTGCTTCCTATCTCATCAAAAGGCCAAACTTTCATTTTCTACTGCAACACCTACCAAATGAATAAGTTCCTGATGGAATACGAAACACACACAAAAAGAGAATCATTTTGATTGATTAAGCACTAAACCTTATCCCCCAATTCATGAATTATCATGAAAAAAGAAAACCCAACATAAATCTTGTATTCAACTCAAACAAAAATGATCCAAGTCCCACGACCTCTCATCACCACCACCCAGGTAACAGAGAACAGAAGAGAAAACGAGAAGGGGGTTGTCGTGATGAATCGACCAAGAGTTAGGCGTTGAACATACCTTAGTCAACAATCACCAGCCTACGTCTGGGTTCCGCTCTCTGCAGATTCTTCTTCAACGAGCGTCCTCCAGTTGTGTGTCTCTCTCCCAAAAAAATGGCTTTCTTTATTTATTATTATCGTAAATTCATAGGGAAACTTAAATATATATTTATATAGTAACGAATCGGGTCGTTTTGCCACTAGTTGCCCTCAAAACTTCGTTCTATTTACAGGACTGCCACTCGGGTGAAAAAACACTTCTGGCCCGCTTGGTGACGAAAATAGGCACTAGTCGCTTACAACGTGTGGCCCGCCGTGTGGGTCAGTACTCGGCAGTAAGCAAAACCTAGCGTGAGCGTGACTCTCTGGAAGGTTAGACACTGGAAACCACACACAAAGAGATTCCTTCTTTCTTCCTTCTTTCTCTTTGCAGTTTGATATTTAATGGATTATCAACAGTTCTTATTACACTTTTTCTACTAATAATCTAAGCGAGTTCGAATAAAATTCAAATATGGGTAAAAATTTAGACTTAGGGAATTCATTGAATGATTACAATGCCTTATTTAAATAGATACAAAGTTAAAGTTTAGCTTGGTTTTCATTTTGACTGTATAGTTTGTGTAGATGCTTTGGTAGGTGCAGGTCAACATTTACCCTTTGAAGTTATGGAAGCATGGCGATGATGATCGATGGGCGTGGCCACTTCGTAGTTTGTCCACGCTGAATATTTTTTGGTTATTAGCAGGTCAACTTGAATATAATAAATCTAAATCTTACTCTATTTATCTTAATCCTTCTTCTTCTTTTTTTTGGAATAATAAATATATAGAAGAATTCATCCTTCCAAACTCATCTTGAGTTGCCTTTTACCATATTTTTTTAATTTCATTATGTATAGTAATTTAATTCATTTTAATAATCTA